AGGGGTCGCTGTGAGTCGGGTCCGACTCAATAGCACATAACAACAAGAAGTACTGTGATGAAAAGTAGGAAGTGGTATCATACATTATATCTTTATCAATTTCTGTGTCCAGCCTCTTAAGACATTTATTTTTTCTTTATTGTGTGCTGAGGACCTACTATGTATGCAATACTGGGTATACAGTAGAGTCTATAGGTATAAAGATGAAGAACATTATCCCCAGGAACTTAGAATGTAATTTGAGGAGAAAGGATTTACATACTTAAAAGACTTACAAACATGACACAACTAAGAAAAGAAAAAATGACAATATTTAATCAAGCTCTTAGTTAGTACAGTATTAACAATAATGAAATCTTTGAGGTGATTGTCCCAGAATTTAGTGTCTTCCTACCTAAGGGAAATGGAAATTGATTTGAAGCTTGAAGTAGAAGAAAGTAGAAAGTCCAGACTCAGAAAACAGTTAACTCTTAAAATTTGATAGTATAAATATTATGAATGAAGCCTAGAATCATATTACAAGTACGATTGGATAGATGGTTGAAATTTCGTGTCAAAGGATTTTGACTTAATACAGTATATAGTTATAGAAGTTTTAACTGGTTTATAATTTTTGAAAGAATGCTAACTTTCTGTATTTGTGTGTTTTAGCAAAGAGAAAAAGTAATGAAATGACCACAAATTTAGCCAAGAGACAAAAGGCTGATATCAGTACTGAACATCCACCCTTTTATTACAACATCCACAGACACAGTATTAAAGGAATGAACATGCCAAAGTAAGACAGCCAGTGAACAGCAAACTGTTTCTTGTATACGTAAATGATACTGTGATTTAAATAAGAATGTAAGAACCTTACTATTTTTTTCCTTTCCTTACTACAGGTTAAAAAAGTTTTTGTGCTATCTTTCTCAAGCAGGCTTTCGAGTAAGCCGAACTCATTTTGACCCAATGGGTGTTCGTACAGATGCACCTCTGATGCAGTTTAAATCTATCCTTTTAAAGTACAGCACCCCAACCTACACTGGAGGACAGACATCATCTGAAGATACAGTAGCTGACAGAATTGAAATGTCAGTGAATGATAAAGCAGACACAAGCAGCTGCAGAAGATGGTAAATGTAGAGAATTGTTTATTCCCAGATGTCTGTGTAGATGACCTACTAGTTCTCTGTGCCAACCAACTGCAGTTCTTTTTCTGTACTTTCAATTCAATAGTGTAAAAATAAAAACAGTGCTGTTTTCATTCAGCAAATTAGCAGTTTCTAACTTAGCTGGTTTGGGAGCTATGCTTTCAGGTTTTTATTTTAAAGAAAACTTTAAAAAATTTAATGAAAACATTTCATATATGAAACTTAAGTCTGAGATCACCCTACTGTTGAAATTTTCACATTTTCACATACAGTGTTTGGAATTTCATGTTATAGAAGCCATCTTTTCTAAATCACATCTCTACTTACACTGAGTTTTTTTTTTTTTTTTTTTTGTGGTATACAAAATGATCACTTATGTTATCTCACAGTTACATACTTAAAATATGTTCCAGTTTTAGGAAATCATACATTATCTTTTAATTTATTACTTTTTTTTTTTTACTAGTTTTTGAGAAAAAAGTACTTACTTGAGATAGAATTTTTTTTTTTTGAAAAAAAAAAAGTTTAAGGTCTAGATAATTAAACTGCAGAGTAAGATTTTGTGAAATTGAGAGCATTGTTCTAATATAATTGTTCATAACACTGAAATTCTTAAGAGGAGAGATTCTGTAATAAACAGGTTGGGTGATCTCAAGTGCCTCAGTTGATGCACGTACAACATTCTTTAGCTTGGTTGTGCTACCTCTCATAAGTAAAACTTGTAACCTTATGAAGTGAGTTGTTTTTTTATTTGGTTGTATGTGTGTGTGCGTGTGTGTGCACATGTGCACATACATTCATTTTTGTATAAGCAGCCCAGGCTAACGTGACCAAGAAAATTAGTTGGAAAAAACTCATTAATAAATGTCATCCTTGCTTCATTTGATGATAATATTTTAGATGAAAGGATATGGTGTAAGTTTACATTTTTGCTTCAAGGGTTTAGTCCTTATTTCTTAGAGGAAATAAGGTATTTCTTAGAGGAAGCAACTTTTTACAGCCATTAAGCCCAGGGGAGGAGGAGTGATTATAACTGAAAAATTTCAATACATTTATATTAGGAAAAAAACAATGCTGACATGTACAAAAAAAGCTAGGAGGAAGGTGTATAGATCAACATAGAATATTAATTTAGCAGAAATAAAGGAAAATGTCTTATTACATACAGCATATTTCCAAGACAATTTTTTCCTTTCTCCAATTAATGTAATCATACATTTAAAATAAATATGAAAATTAGTTTCCATGATGACCACAGAAAAACTCCACTCTGTTGTTCTTGCCAGTTAAAATTATGACCTATAAATGAGCACAAGAAGCAATGAAAGATATTAGTTAGTACTTTTGTATAATTAAAAAGAAGGATTAAATCCAGAAGTCAAACTAGCACTTGGACTATCAGATCTAAAAGTCTTAAAATAGTATTGGTCTCAAATTTTGCTAAATCCTTATCAGCATGATTTACTTTTGAACAATGATGAAATTGGGTTTTATGCCAATAGGCTAATATGATACAGAAACATGTAAATGACTCCTAACTGAAATGTGTGTGCATGTGTATTAATTTTACATACAAAGGTAATTTTCCCAATAAAACTTTGGTAGGAAGAAGTTTGGTACTCTGTGATGTCCCTCAGAGAAAGAAAACACTTGAAAATGCTATCTATGAGCAACCTTGGGAGCTCTGGTGGCATAGTGCCTAAAGCACTTGACTGCTAACCAGAAGGCTGGCAGTTCATGTCCACCAGCCACTCCTCAGAAGACTGGGCAACCTACTTCCATAGTGATACTGCCTCGGAAACCAAAGGAGGGGTTGCTATGAGTTGGATCTGACTCGACGGCAGTGAATTTGGTGTTTTGTCTTTTTAGCAGCCTTGTTCTCATAATTTGGGGCATTGCAAATGTTGACCATTTTTTAAGAGTGGCATCAGTTGTGTCCTCCATTAAAACCAGTTCTTGCCCCACAGTCAGGAAGCCTGTGTGTTGAGTCTGCTAATTGCTTACATTATCACGATAGCCATATGCTTAGGAAATGGGAAAAGTAACCAAGGGAGATGGGTTTGAGGCTGCTACAATGGGGTTGGGTGATAACTCCATTAAGCACCTGACTTCCATATGGCTTTGAACAGATTAATGATGTTCTGGTTCACAAAAATCAGAATTAAAACCAGTGCACTAGTCCCAAAAGGTGTAGGAGTTTTTGTCCCCCATTACGCATTTGCTCTGGTAAATAGTCAAGACATTCCTTTGGCGAAGGTAAGAGGAAAATACTTAATACAGCCTTTCTCAAAAGATTCTGGGTATGTACATAGAATCAGGTCTAGGAATTGGTAAGGAGGGATCATGACTTCATAGTGGCTCAACTCAGATCTATAGTTTTCAGTTGTAAAGATAATGGGGACCTCATGCATTTTGATCTTAAGGATCACGTGATCAATTAGCCACAGCCACAAATTCCTGCCAGACAATACTGGTTACCTTGTGGGTACTGTTGCCCATTAAGTAACCATGCCCACATTTCTAGTACTTAAGTGAACCACATTGTTTCTGATACATGACAGTCTTCACAGAGCCCACTAAATCAAAAAAAAAAAAAAACTTACTGCAATCGAGTCATTTCCGACTCACAGTGAGCCCTCCTTGGGTTTCCGAGGCGTTATCTATGGAAGTAGATTTGACTGCCACAAGTGGCTGGGGGGTGTGAACTGCCAGCCCTCTGGTTAGCAGTCAAATGCCTGAGGCAGTACACGACCAGAGCTCCCACTGAATCAGGGAAACCGTTTTCAACTGAAGGGTCTCTCACTGGCATCTCAGGCCTGCAGATAACCAATACTGCTTTGCAAGGGTGCTAGTGCTGTGCTCACCAGTGTATTTCTCAATGTTTTCTCAGGATCAACAGGTCTATTGTGAGGGGTATCAGAGAACAAACAGGTGAAGAGACCACACATAATAAATCCTCTCCAACATTCCCCCTTCTAAGTCTGGTTTCCTTGCTCTACCTTGTATCAAGGAATTTCTAGCATCTCACCTCCAATTTAAATAAGCCACTACTGAGGCATTTTCTTTCAGTGAAGTAATCCAAGAGCCACTCCAGCAATTTCAATCCACACAGCAACTCGAAAGACCTGGTGATCTACTTCCATAAAGATCACAGCCAGGAAAACTATGGGCAGTTCTACTCCATAATATGGAGTCACTATGAGTTGGACTTGACTATCAAGCACCCAACAACAAAGATTGGTAGGAAATGCTAATCACTATTTGAATAACATAGATGCTCTGGTAGTGTAGTGCCTAAGGCATTTGACTGCTAACCAGAAAGCTACCACCAGTTCAAACCCACCAGCCACTCCCTCAGAAGGAAGATGGGGCAATCTACTTCCATAGTGATACCACCTTGAAAACCCAAGGAGGGGTCGACTCGGCGGCACGTAACAACATTTGACTAACATGCCTGATGTAACTTCTTTTTATCAATTCCTAATTAAATAAAAGGAGCTCTGGTAGCATAGTGGCTAAAGCAATTAACTGCTAACCAGAAGGCTGGCGGTTCAAACCCACCAGCCACTCCTCGGAAGGAAGGTTGGGCAATCCTACTTCCATAGTGATAGTGCCTCAGAAACCCAAGGAGGGGTCGCTATGAGGGGCCAACTCGATGGCACATAACAACAATAATTAAATTGCAAAAGGAAATTTTCTACCCTTAAAAGGCCGTAATTTTAAGCAGCCTTCAAAGGCCTGGAGGGTGGACTTTCCATGACCCCAGAGGGCAGAGTATCAAGCTGCAGAAGAATTATTCTGAGGCTTTGAAACCAAATGGTATTTGCCCTGTTGGGTTTCTAATTTGGTTAGGACCAGTGATTCTTTTATTCCTTCCTATTGCACTTTGTGGAATGGGAATGTCTATCTTGTGCCTGTCTCACCACTGTACTTTGGAAGCACATAACTTTTCCTGGGTTCCATAGATGGAAAGAAATTTTGGATCATACCAACTCTCACCCGTAACGATTTTTTTTTTTTTTTTTCATTGTGATTTGGGTGCGAGGTTAACAGTTCATACACATTTGATTTCATAGCACCAATTACAATCCCAAAAATAAACAGCTCTCCCATCTCCTCTGTGACTAACCCTTCCCCACGTCCTCCTTATCTGTGTATTCCTGTCTGTCCAGGTTTCCCCTTCTGCCAATACTGCCCTTCTGATCTCTCATCATTGATTGATCCAAGGGGTGCATCTCCCTAGGGTAGGAGATAGACCTTTCTACTGTTTGGCTGACATCTAATCCACAGAAGTGAGTGTAGTTCCAGGACTGAAGGATAACCCAAAGCCATTAATTCGGGGTTCACCAGTCTCTACCCAACCAGTAATTCTGTTCATTTTTTGTGTTTTTTAATTTTGTTCCCCATTTTTCCTCCCACTCCATCCAGGATGTCCAATTTTGATCCTTTTCTGAACAGGTGACATTGGTAGCTGGGCACCATCTAGTTCTTCTGGTCTCAAGGCCATGAAGGCTGAGGCTTCCGTGGTCCATCAGACCTTTGGACTAATTATTTCCATATGACTTTGATTTTCTTCATTATTCTTTGCTCCAGACAAGGGGAAACCAATACCTGCAACTTAGATGGCCACTCAAAAGCTTTTAATACACTAGTCAATACTTACCAAAGTAGCATGGAGAACAAGATTTTTATGTACTATGTTGTGCCAACTGAGCTTGATGTCCCCCAAGAACATAGTTCCAAGCCTATAGGCCTGGACCGATAACCAATTTAGATGATGAGATTTATTATGAATTGATACTTAGATGATATATTGGATTTAGTTGATACTAGAATGGCTTAACACTTCTGGAGATACTGGGATGTGGATAATGAATTTTACACATGGGATGATGTGAATTCTACGGGTGAAATGTGGATTTCAGTGGGTTGAATAGCCGCTTCCAAAAGATGTCTACCCAAGAACCTCAGAATGTGACCTTATTTGGAATAAGGGGGTTGCAGATGTAGTTAAGAAATTTGAGATGAGACCATCCTAGATTAGGATGGGTCCTACATCTAATGTTGAGTGTTCTTGGAAGAGACAGGGAAAAAAAAACAGAGATGAAGGAGGGCAAGGCCACGTGAAGATAGAGGCAGATACTGATGTATTCACAAGCTAAGGAATGCCAAGAATACCATCAATAACCAAAAGGTAGGACAAAGGCATGGAACCAATTCTCCTTCAGAACCTCCACAGAAAACCCTGCCAACATTGCTTTTCAGACTTCTGGCCTCAAAAACTGAGAGTAAACTTCTGTGGTTTAAAAAAACCAAGATTACGGTTTAACATCAGTTCTAGGAAACCGATAGAGGATAAACATCCAGTC